CCCCATTCCCCTTGTGCGCACTCCTGCTGCGCACGCTCTCCGCACCCCCCCCGCCCCGCCCCGCCCTAATGCCCGCAACGATGGGCATTGCCCGGCCAGTCGAAGCGACCCCCGGAGGATCGGCGCCCCTCACGCCGGGGGTGGCCGCCGTCGGCACCGGGCCCGCGTCGCCGCGTGGCGACAGCCCTGCGAGTCTGGCTCCCCCGGTCGCCGGTGAATCCCATCCCGAAGCCGAGCCCGGGGTCACGGCCGAGACCAAGGCCGATGCCGCCTCGCCAGATGCTCTGATGCCCCAGGCGCAAGATAGCATCGACAAGATCACCGCCGCGCAGCTGGTTTTGCAAGATGTGCGCCTCCTGCACATTTGGCATCCGTCGTGGTCCCTTCGCCGGCCTGTCCTCCTCTCCGGGTGACTTTCTGACTCCCTGCCTTCCCTTGTCCCTGCCTCGCCCTGCCAGCTGGCCCATGCCTTTGCCGTGGCCGTCAGTGAGATTGCCGCGCTGCCGCCGCCCCCGGGCCGCGCACCGTCGGGGAACGCCCGCACTGGCCCGAGCACCGGGGCTCGGCCGATCCCGGGTGACCTGTCGGCGCCGCACCTGCTGGACACGCGCGCGCGCCTCCATGGCTATGCCACCGATATTGCGCAGTTTTGCCGGTACTTTGATTCGCTGTTGGACGAGTTTCCCCAGCTGGAGGACCGACACCCGGCGCCATCAGCCACGGGGACCGGCGGCCCCGAGCGGTCCGATGGCTCAGGGACACCGGCCAGCCCGGCCAGCTCGGCCGACTTGGCCACCTCTGCCGGGCCGGCCGACGCCGGGCCGGCCTCCTTCGAGCGCCGCCTGGCTGGTCTTGTGCGCGCCAATCACCAGGGGGGCCGTCACCTGAGACGCGCTGCTGGCAAGGCCTCCGCCACACTGGCCGCTATTCGCACCTCCAGCCGGCTGATTGCTGATACCCAGATTGCTGGCGTTTTCGGCGGGCCCGGCTCTTCGGCCGGCACTGGGCCCACCCTCGCCACATCCCCGGCTCCCAAGCCCGGGGGATAAGCGAAGCCCATGGGCCTCTTCCCCTGTCGTTGCTTTTTTTTTTCTTTGACCGTCGGGTTTTACTCCCCTTTCGATGGAAATTCACTGTTTCTCTGTTGCTTTCGCGGTTGTTAGGCCACCCCTCCCCCTCTCTGCCCCACAGGCCTCTTTTGTCCCCGCCCTCCCCGCCCCTTTCCGAAAGGAGGACACACAGTACCACAAGGTCTATATTCTGTTCCTGTTCATCGGCGTGTGCATGGCGGAAGGCAATGGTGTTGGTCATGGAATGAGGGCAGGGGAAGCTGCTGTCGCAAGCACGAGCGGCACATTTTCAGTCCTGAGAAAAAAAAAGAAAAGAAGAGGGGGCAAGTGCCATCGGGGCAGGGAATTGGCCACGCCTACACATTAGCGGAGTGCCCGCTTTGCGGTCCATGTGCCAATGAGCAGATTCCGCCAGATGCCCGCAAAGAAGCTGTCGGTGGCCACGTCGAACAGTGGCGCCAACTGCTCGTGCAGGTTGCTGTGCAATTGAACACACAGGAGAGGGAGGGAAGGAGAGAAGAAGAAGAAGAAGAGGAGGAGGAGGAGGAGGAAGAGGAGGAGAAAGCCAACAAGACCCCGGTCGGCGCACAGGAAAGGTGAAAGGCGAAAAAGTGGTCAGAATGCATGGACATACATACACACGCACGCGCGCGCGCGCGCGCGCGATCATGCCACCAAAAGCGGATGGAGAGGTACGCACTTTGCAGAGGGCGACGACCCGAGCATATCCACCAAGTAGGAGACAAGCTCCGGGTCGCGAGCCCCGAGGGACTGCTGGACCGCGGTATCAGCCCACGGGCGGACATACGCATCCAGCAGCTCCGGCGTGACCAGCGGCCACTCGACCGGCAGCTGCATGAGAATGGCATGCCCAGTGGGGAGGACCTGCTCCAGACGCGTGCGGAACTCCTCCACCGACAGGGGACCGGCATTCAGCAGGGCCGTCAGCGAGGCCAGCACATCCGTGGCCGAGGACGGCGGCTGGTGACGCTTGGCCGCAGGGGCAACATCGTCCTCGACAGCGGCCGCGGCCGGGCGCTTGGCACCGGCGTCCGTGCTGGTCGGCGCCGCGGCCAGAACCACACCGACACCAGCCGTCGGGGCGGCGGTGGGCACAATGTTGGCCGCCGCCTGGCCATCTGCCCCGGCGAACAGGGGATCCCGCGGGAGGTTGTTCAGGGCAGCACGCAGGTCCTCGCGAGCGCGGCGCTGGAGCGGCGGGAGGAGAGAGGAGAAGGATGCAGGGAGAGAGAGAGAGAGAGAGAGCGCGCGCGAGCGCGAGGGAAGGATGGCCACCAGGGAGGCGGACATACACGTCAGCGATCACAATCAGGGACCAGTGGTAAGCCGGACACAAATGTCGCGCCCTGGCAACGACAGGTCGATGCAAAAAAAGAAGGAAGGTCAGAAGGCGGAATCACGCTCGCACCTCGATCTCAGCGTCCGTGAGCTGTTGCGACTGGTGACCGGAGGCCGGCCGCCCGGCAGTGGTCCCGGCATCAGCCTGCCGGTCCCGGGTGTGGCGGTCCTGCTGAAGCTCGGCCTCCTCCTTTTCCCGATCGCGAAGGTCGGCGGCCTCCTCGCGCGCACGATCACGCTCGCGTGCGGCGAAGTACCGCTCACTGCCCCGCCAAGAGCCGAGGGACCAGGAATAAAGGCAGGAAAGAAAAGCAGGCAGCAACGGTGAGTCCGGAGGGGGGGGGGGCGGGGGAAGGAAGCAGGGAAAGCGAGCAGCGGCAGCGGGACAGAGGCGACCACAGGGCCAGCGCACCGGTTGGTATAAAAGGGCAGCGCACGGATGGCCGCCGGGTCGTCCAGTAGCCGAAGCATCTCCGGCACGTCAATCTCCTGGAAGCGTTGGCGCGCGGCCAGGAAGTTCCGGCCATTGGCCAGGGACTTCAGGTATGCCCCCTCCAGATCCTTCCAGCGGAGTTGCGACTGCAGCGCGTGGCACATATCCCGAGAGGGGAGCGGGCAAGGGCAAGGGAAGAGCCCGGCAAGGACGGCAGTCAGAATGGGAGCGCCAAAGCACAGGCCCACAGGCGACAAACGGCGGAAAGCGTACCGAGCGGAAGAGATTCTCCTGCTCCTTCTGGCGGAATTCCAGCTCCTGCTGGCGCCGGCGCTCGGCCATCTCCAAACGCCGGCGGTCATCCTCGCGCGCCCGATCACGGAAGGAGGCCACCGCCTTCTCCACCGTGGAGGAAGTCACCTCGATGGGGCTGCCCACCCCGCCGGGGACCGCCGACAGGGGAATATCCCCCGGGGAGGAGGTGGTCTCGGCATTCGCGGAGTCGGTGGCGCCGGGCCCAGGGGCGCTTGTTTTGGTCGCCGGCGTCGAGTCAGCCACCGGAGCCGCGGCCGGGGCTGCTGTCGAGCCGGAGCCGGAGCCGGAGCCGGAGCCCGCGGCCGGGGTCGAACTCCCGGCCGGGGCCAGCAGCGTGGTCAGAATCTGCTCAAAGTCCGGGAAAGTCCCGGAGGTGACCGCCTGCTCGGCATCCGGATGGGCCAGCCCCAGGTTTGACAGGAGGTTGATGGTCAGGGTGTAGGCGTGGCAGCGCTGGCGGGTTTCGGCCTCGGTTTCGCGCGTGGTCCACTCTTCCAGTTCCTGGAGATCGGCCTCGGCCTGGGCGACGGCCGCACGAGCGGCCGCGCGCGGGCTGAGGGCCGGCACTTCGGCCGCATCCTCAGGCGGGGGGTCCTGACCCTCCGACGGGGCGGAGGCCGGGGCCGGGGCCGCGGGCGCGTTCAGGGCCGCCGCCGCGGCCACCTCCTCCTCGATCTCGGCCTCCGAAGCAGGGGGATGGGCGGCGAGTGCCTCGCGCGCGGCGTCCACCTTCTCGCGCGCCTGTTTCATGCCAGACAGACGATCCTCGCGCTCGGCCACCAGCTTGGCCGTGACCGTCTTGTCGGCGGTGACCTTGAGTGCCTGGCCGCCGATCAGCAGGCCATTCATCAGGACCAGCGCCCGCTTGACGCCGACCAGATTCCCGAACGAGGCATAGCCAAAGCCGCGCACGCGCTCCCACTTGACGAAGGAGCCGACGGTCTACATGGGCCGGTGCATATGGTGGCAGGCAAGTCAGCGAAAGGGGCCAACCCAAGGGGGGGGGGGGGCCGAGGGGCCGAGGGGCCGAGAGGGGCAAGATGCGGGCCGGAAAAAGGGAGAAAGAGAAGAGGAAAGGCCGGACGCACGCGGAACATGGCCTCGAGGGATCGGTCATCCAGCCTCGGCGAGATTGACCCGACGAAGAGGGAAATGATGTCGCCGCCGGAAATGACTCCGGCACGGGCGAGCGCGGCCCGGCCACCGCCGCGTGACCCGGAGGACGCGGCAGAGCGCGAAGGCGCCGGTCGCGAGTGCCCGGAGGGCAGGTGGCCCGCGGCCATCGGCGGCGGAGCCAGCCCCGGGTGCGGCACATGGTGCCCCATGTGCGGGGGATGGTGCATCATGCCCATTGGGTGCATTGGCGGCGGCACGCCCATGCCATACACTGTGGCACATGCCAGAGAGCGTCCGGTGATGTCAGCATGGCTCAGCGGCGTGCGACCGAGAGAGGGGGGAGGGGCGAGAAGAGGAAGAAGAGGGGGAAAAAAAAAGAAGGAACCCCCCAAGAGGGCGGAGGGCGAGGTACGGGGGGGGGGAGGAGAAAGAAGAAAAGACACGGCAAGGGAAGGCAAGCGAATACGCACTGTGCGGCGGCGGGACGCCGGGCATGCCGTGCATGTGGGGGGGCGGCATGTGCGGAGGTGGCATGTGTCCGCCGGGGGGCACCTGCATCGGGTACGCGCCGTAGGGCATCCCCATGGGCGGGGGTGACCGGTTGGGGAAGGGCTGCATCTTTCAGGCGCTATGGGGCAGGGGGCGTCTGTGCGGGCGTATTCACGGGGATGCAAGAGTGACGGAGGAGAATATGTGCGCAAGGGAGGGGGGGGGGGGGAGAAGGCGGAGGCGTTTCTTTCCGAGGGGGTGGGGCCGATCGGGTCGCGGGGTGGCTGCTTTGCGGCAAGAGGTTGCGCGGCGCGGTCGGCAGGGCGAGAATGCTACAGGACAGGAGGAGCGAGGAGCAGAGTGCGGGACAACAGGAGGTATCTCTGCGTGTGTGCAGGGGTGCAGGGGGGAGGGGGGGGGGGGGGGAAGGAGGAAGAACAAGAGTGCTACGGGGTGGAGTGGTCAAGACGAGCTGACCTCCGGCCTGGCGGGCAAGCACCCCTTCAATCTCGGGGGGCCCAGAGGCGGGCCCCACCGCCGGCCTTTGCCGCATGCCCACACAAACAAGCATCCTAACAGACACCCCTGGGACCGGCGTAGGCCCGACATCACCCCCACACATACACGCACACACACACACACACACACACACACACACACACACACACGCATCCCCAGACAACCGAAGGGGAGAGGCCGAAAAAAGAGAAAAGACAAGGGAACACACACCCGGGGGAGGGCCGAGCAAACGGGGAGACGGGGAAATCACGGGACGCGATATATTGACGGTTCTACATCAGCAGATTATCAAGCGGTGGCACCACTCCCGCGGCGACTGCCAGCCGAGGCGTGACCGGCGGCAGAGGACGTCCGTTGGCGCTTGGCCCCGGTCGTCTTGGGCTCCGACGCGGTGGAGCCGGCCGATGTGGCTCGTTTGGCCGTGGGCGCTGGCGGAGGAGAGGCACCGGTGGTGGTGGTGGTGGTGGCGGCGGCCGTGGCCGACAGTGCCGGGTAGTTGGCCCGCGAGGGTGGCAGCCCGCCCGGGTGCAGCAGATACTGGTATACGTATGACAAGTCGGTCAGGCAGAGGGCCGGGAGGTCGCGGTCGGCCACCGGGGCGAAGGCAGCCAGCGGGCTGCCAAGCTCCCCGCCCTTGGCCGCCAGCTCGGCCAGAATCCCAGCCAGGCGCCCGGCATCGTCCGGCTCATCGAGGCCAGGCGGCCGGTCGGCCGATGGATGGAAGATGATCCGGAGCTCGGCCAGCGCGGCGTGGCAGAATTCCTCGGCAATTGTGGCCTCCATGGAGCTGTGCCGGCGGAAGGGCGAAAACTCGGCCGGCGCCAGGCTGGGCGATCGGCGGACCAGACGGTCGATAAGGTGCAAAAAAAGCAGCAGGCTGTGCCAGCTGGCAGCCATGTTGGCAAAGTGCCGCTGGTAGTGATTCAGCAGGGACGTGTACTCCTCGAGCGAGGGGGCAAAGTCCAAGAACACATGGGTCGGAGGGGTCTACATGCATGTGCACGGATGGGGGATGGAGTCAGGAGGAGTGGGAGGGGGGAGGGGGGAGGGGGGAGAAGAAGGAGAAAGGGAGAGAAAGAGAGAGAGAGAGGGAAAGAAAGAGAGAGAAAGAGAGGGAAAGAAAGAGAGAGAAAGAGAGGGAAAGAAAGAGAGAGAAAGAGAAAGAGAAAGAGAGAGAGAAAGAGAAAGAGAGAGAGAGAGAGAAAGAGAAAGAGAGAGAGAGAGAGAGAGAGAGAGAGAGAGGAAAAGAGGAAGGGAGAGGAAAAGACATAGGGGGAGCTGGCAAAGAAGACGTACGGCATCCAAAGGTTGGCCATCACAGTCGACCAAAGTCGCGCTGCCGCCATTCAACTTGGCGATGTGCTCACTGTCGAGCACAGCCACGGAGAAGGCACCGCCGGCTTGTAGCAGCCTTGCTACTCCCTCGACGCGTGTCCATGTTGGGACGGTGCGCTTGCGCCAGATGTGCACCCTCCAGGTGGTGAAGGCCCCATGCACGGGGGTCCGGTCACGGAAGGGCTCCGGCACCAGGCCCCGCAGGAAGGCCTGGAAGCCGGCGCTGCCGGTCAGCTCAGGCGACTTGATCACCGTTTGCCACACCTGCCGGACCACGGTCAAGCGCAGACGCCAATACCGGCTGGACAGGGCAATCAGCCGATCGGTATTTGTGATGCCAGTCAATTTGGGCAGACCCATGAGCCCCGACGAGGGGTCATCGGCTGTGGCCAGTTGCGGACCATCGCCGGTGTCGGCCTCGGCCTCGGCCTCGCCGGCCAGGTCGTATGCCGACTCCTCCAAAAAGACATTCGACGCGAAGCTATCAGCCACATAGGCTGGCGGGAGGAACCAGCTCCCCCCGGCGATGGCGCGCAGGAAGCGCTCGCTGGCCACGAAGCTGTTGACAATCATATGTGTGCATCGGCCAAAGGGGCTGTCGGAGAGGGAGGCTCTTGGGTCGCGACGCGCGCCGATCGGCTCGATGGCGTCGTTTCCGCCAAGTTGCTGGATCACTGTGTGGCCAGCGGATGGGTCAGCAGAGGCGGCGTGTATGGAGCGAGTGGGAGGGAGAGAGGGGAGAGAGGGGAGAGAGAAGAGAGAAAAGAGAGAGAAGAGAGAGAAAAGAGAGAAGAGAGAGGAGAGAGAGAAAAGAGAGAGAAGAGAGAGGAGAGAGAAAAGAGAGAGAAGAGAGAGAAAAGAGAGAA